ATCAGAATACACTCCACTTAATACATGTCCTACCTGCCTGGACAACAGCGAATTTTCAGAATAAATCTAACTTTTTATGTTAAGCCAACCATCCGTAAAAATGTTTCTTTGAATAACTTCTAGTTCCATTCTTTGCCCAGTGCCGTTTTCAGTTACCTTCCTCATACTGAAGGCACCGATTTGTTCTTCCTCTTCCTCACTGCTCCTATTCTGTAGGACCTGTTGATACCAGCTGCGTATCTATGCATCACCTCTCTGTTCTCAACCCTCAAGCTTGGTCTTCTGATAAAGCAACATGTAAGACCATAATTCAAAGCCCAGTTAAATCAACTTACTCCACTGCCTTTCCATACTTTGGCCTATACTCCCTTGGATTTACTTTTGAGATCTGACTAAAGCTGCCATATCCTGGAGGAAGGCCACAAATTAACAACATCCAAAATGCATCTAAATAAGAGTGTATTAAATGCACAAGCTACAACATTTAGTTGGCTCCTTGCATGTTTTATTTTAAAAGTAACAAAAATCCAAAGTGCACTTTAACAGCTGGATAAAGTTGGGCACAGCAGGGGAAATGATGCAGCACATAAGTTGGCAAGTCAGGTAGCAGAACACCTGTGCTGTAAATAAGAGATTTTCCTAATCCTTTCCTAAACCAGGATTTCAGAACAAAATAATAGACAAAATAATCTAATCCTCTGTGATGGTTTTTGCATGAGTTATGCCTCCCCTGGCAGCCATACCAATTTGTCTGTATAAATATTCAGGTTTTCCTTATTCTAAAAAGAATCACAAGTAAAAGCACCTTAACAAATCTCATGCCAGGACAAAAATAACATAACTTCTGTTAGATGATCTACAAACAGCCCTTTAAAACGCCAAATTGAGATTTTCACAAAAGACAACTCTCAATAGCCAAAACAAGTGAAAGAGTTCAGGCTATCACAGGGGCGGGCAATTATTTCTGGCAGAGGGCCGCTTACCAAGTTTGGGCAAGCCATCGAGGGCCACACGGCAGGCAGCCAGGGGCAGATAAATATTAATTTTCTAAAATTTTTAGGGGCCCCACGGGCCGGATAGAATGGCCTGACGGGCCACATCCAGCCCATGGGCCGCATTTTGCCCACCCTTGGTCTATCATATGTCTCACAGGTACAGACTAAAACAGGGCAGACTAAAAAAACTCAGGACTCTGCTAAAGTTTAAACAAGCACCTTCTTGTTTCTCTAATAAAATGTACTACAGCACAGCAATCATCTTGCATCAGGAATGTCAGCACCAGTGCCACGAGCTGGTGCAGGACACCGCTTGACATTATACACTAAATATGGTTTTGTTGATATCTTTACCTTAGCCCACTTGTGCTTCTATTCAGCAGGAAGGAAAGGTCTTTGCCTGGATTTGCATGTGAAAAGTTTGTAAAAATTAACAACCAATACTCTAATCTCTGTCGTGTGGCTTTACCACACTAAGTAAATATTATCTCATCAAAGCAGCTAAACTACAGGTTAACAACACAATTAATATGTAGTTATTTGCTACAAAGTTGAATACTCTTTCCACCATGAGTTACACGGCCATTTAAATTAATTAAAATCTGCTCAGTTTGAAAGAAATTGCCTGCATCTCAAAAGGAAACTCCCTCCCAGCAAATATCACAGCTCTGCACACTCGCCCAGCAGGATTACCATCGTGACTTTTCACTTGTGAAAGAAGGTGAAGACTAATCTATCCACTGAATCATAATGGCTTTTCCTTGGTCTAAATAACTGACAATTTTCAGCCTAATGACCCACTGAGAGGAATAAGAAATTGGTCTATTATCTATGCTTATCATGAGATCAAGACTATTTGCTAGAACTGAAGACTGCACTGAAGTGTATGGTTAGTGACAGAAAAGGCAAAGAACAAATGCTAGTCTTAGTTGATATATTTGTAAAATACCTCCAAAATAATGAAGTTGTGCCTGAATTCACCACAGTTCAGTAATACATCCTCTGTTACTTTAGCTCCCCAGAAACAAATTAAGATTGGAATGTTAAACAGGCTTGACAGAAACATTAACATTCACTGGCAGGAAAAAAATTGAAAATTTAAATATTCATTAAAAAAAGCAAATAAATGAACATTAACAGCTTTAAAACCACTATGTAAGCCCCACTGCCGTGCCAATAATTGAAAATTGAACAACAGTTTCTCATCAACTGCTGGAGAATATGTACTCTCTTAAAAATATGCCCTGCTTGTAATCCTTTAAATGTTTACAATATGACAAAGCCTTCACATCCATCTCAGTTCTCATTCCAGTGACAGAAAATCTTTTGATTTGTGACAGCTATCCCTGTAGACCTAATACTCATTTGCACTAACACCCTTTACCCCCTTCTGACAGTACAAAGGAGACTTGAAGTGAGTGCAACTTTAAAAGTGGGCCCACTTCAAGGCCCCTTTATGCCCACAGAGCAACAGAATGATCCTAGCGGAAATAAGAAACTATTCCAGTATCTGTCTTTACTCACGCTTTTCTTACATTAATGCTATGGGGAAACATGTGACAGCACCAGCTCTCTCCCAATCTATTTTCAGCCTGATATAACCACCTGCGTTGTCTTCAGTTTGAACACCGACTGTTTCCCAGGTCTCCATAATGTGCAATGATGTCATTATTGGGAATCGCAGCTAGCTGACTGGTTGATTGATCTAGTTAAATCAGTGCAACCACTTGCCTACACATTCTTAAAAGGATTAAAAAGACTTAATATTGATTTAGATATATAAACGCGCTCTTAAACAGATTTAAGAGCATCCACAAAGGGTGGCTGCATCAATCTAACCAGTTCTCTTTCTAAACTGATCTAGTTAAACTGGTAGACCTTTTGTGTGTACATAATGGCCTGACTTGAAGCCAGTGGGCTGCTATCCAGAAAGCCTTACTTTTGTGCAGGAAAGTTAAGTGGAATCCCAATAAATAAAGCATTACAGATTTGCTACCATTAAGGGGCTGGCTACACCTCTGACCCCTTCCCTGGGTATAGACAAACATACTTTTTAGCTCCTTTAGAAAGGGAAGAAAGATTTGCTGCTTGTCAGGAGTGCACATCAGCTGTTCTGATCTGTTACGTCTGTTTGATCCGGTAGAGATATGAGTGCAATGAATCACCCTAACTTTGATGATGAATATAACAGGGTTAAAACCGCAGTACTTTTTCTACCCTTGTGTTGCTAAAGAGTCCTGTTAATATAACAGTTGTACAGTAACAGCTTACATGAGTATGCTTTGATATTGATACAGTTTTATGTCTATTTATACCATCCAAGTGCATCCCTTTGGTCTCTTGCTGTCACCTCTCTGCAGGTGGAAGTCTACCATTCTTAGGCCAGGTACCAGACTACATGGCTCTGTGCACTGTAAGCGCTTACCGGAACAAAGCTGATTGGTTTTAGGCACCTGTAGTTCTTCCCTTTTGGAGCTGGGGAACAATTTTTAACACAGGGATCCAAAAACATCCTTTTCAAAGGGATTTTAAATCTTAACTGTGATTACAAAGCATACTATAAAAGGAATAGGATTTTAGAACAACAAACTGTCTATACACTGGTCTCTCCGAATGCTTTCCTACCCCATACTGGGTGGTCTAGGGGAAGCCTGGTTTTTTCAGCTCCTGCAAAAAGGTATCTGTCAGAGTCAGTCTCTTCCTTAGAAACATCTCCCCAAACACCGCCTGATCCATGAATAGAGACACACTTTTCAGCTACTTGTAATCCTTTTCATCTGATTAATTCTAAGCACTGGCAACGCCAATCTTTGTACCTGGGCTGAAGTGAAGAAAATAGTTTCTTCACAGCGAGTAGCTCAGGTTTCGTCACTTTTGTCTCCTAGCAGAAGTTTTACCTGGAACCACTCTTTCATTTTCCTGTTTGTTTCCTGCTATCTAGTATTAAATTAAGCCACCATGTACGTACCGTCAACATCTCATTACCCCGTGATAGCCATGGAATACATACCCCCAAAATTAGGTGATACAGTACTCAGAAATTATTGCAGAGCTGCTCCACTTCCTTTACAACTTTGATTTCAGCTGTTGCAAAAGAGCTTGTAATTCCTTTTTGGTGTTTTAAAAAAGAGTATAAAAGGGACTGCAGTAAAAATATGAAATAAATTATGTGACTTATTAATAAAAATATAAAAACCAAGAGGTATCTTTTTTTTCTTCCTTAGAAAGAACTCTAAACACTCAGCAGCCCCCTGGAACCTAAAAATACTTCCAACCATCTACTCTTTAACACATGGATGCTTTGGGCTGCTCATCTAAAACATCTATAAAAAACTTGAAGAATGGAAAGATAGATGGCAAATGTATTTTAAAATGTTCCAGCCAGCCACTTGTGACTCTAAACACAAAACAAGTTCCCATTATAAATGCCTTAGGTAAGGGGTAAACTAATACACCTTGAGATAATGCTTAGCTAATCACAGTGCAACAACTTTGCCATGAGTGGGTGAACTGCTAATTAGCCCTAAGGATATAAAACTGTCATTGTAGAATAAAAGGATACGGAGAAATAAGCAGTAATTATGGGTTTATTGTCAAAGAAAATGCTATCAAGCTCAGTTCAGTATAAAAAACACAGCTTTATAAGTAAATAACCTGCATTCATTAAATGAGTATATTCTGGTAAAAACAATTCAGGGATGAGCAATCAGCTCTGAAAAACACCATGGAAATGAACGTGAGGAGGAAACAGCAGCCATTCTCCATTTTCACTGCCTACCGCTGCACAAGGAACATTAAGAGCACATGAATTATTTTGTTAAACTGCTCTGGATTTTCAGAGCTGGTCTTAAAATAGCCATTTATCTCAAAATTAGGATGAGCTAGATGACTTTCGTCCCTTTAAACCTTAATTTGCATAGTTAACATGCAAGCGATGTTAGCAAATGTAATTAGCCGTACCAGTATTTCAAATATTTAATTTTTTTGAACTGCACATCAACTTACATTCTGCTGCTTGGAATAATCTTGTGCCCATCTCTAAACCAGGTCACTTGTGGTCTGGGATAGCTGAGGATGTGCATGAAGTCTAGAACTGCAGCTTGTCCTTCCGCCACTGTTTTTTTCTGGTCTGTGTCCATGAAATTTCCCATATCTACAAAGAAAAATTATACTCAGAGCCTGGGAAGGTATTTTTTTTTAGGGGTCAGAGAAAGAAATAATTATGCTTTACAATAGAGTCATTGGTATTGCCATAATTAAGCAATAAAACATGACAAGCCATGCAGCTGTACTGATTAATGTAGATTTCAGGTGTGTAGCGAGGCATAAGGCTACAAGTGCCTCCAGTGCACACAAGAAGTGCATCAATCAGCACTACTGCATCGTGTAAAGTGTCCTATTGATATCACTGAATTATTCTAAACCCAGAAAGTGACATTTTAATATATTCTTGCATCACATACAACCGTTCATTGTGTGAATGAAAAAGCCATGTTAATGTTTTATGCAGTCTCAGGTTTTTTTACTCAGGCTAGGGACAGAAATGACACATAAACCAGTATAAGTGATTGGAAACCAGTTTAAAACTGTAACAGAACAGAATTTCAGTGCACATACACCGGTTTTAAAATGGCAGAATCTGGTTTAAGATACACCTGGATGGATGTAGTATCAGATTGAATCAGTTTAGGTTAGACCGGTCTATTGAACTTCTGTCCCAGATCCTGTAGGGAATCACCTTAGTTTGCTGTCCTCCAGCATCCCAGGATGCTTTGCAGCTCTTCAGTAATCCATCCTCGCAGGGCAGGTGGGCTAGCCTCTGCCAGTGCTCCTCTGCTCCAGCCAGGCTGGGCTCGCCCTGCCCCCAGGCTGTCACAAAGCTGAGGAAGCACAGCCTCTGCTCCTAGCCTGCATCCTGCCTGTGCTTGTCAGCCCAGCAGGGCAGTGAGGGGGATGCAGGGAAACAGAGCCCCTCGTTCTGGCCCCGGGCTCCCCGTGAGCTGGCTGTGCCCAGCTGTGGGGAGCCAGCATGGCTGGGTGCACAGCAACTCACTCTGTGGGTTGCTGCCTCTCACCCATGGCACAGGGAACACGACTGAGCCCCACAGTGGGAGTTGCTGTGCACCTGGCCATGCTGGCTCCCCAAGGATGGGCACACCCCAGCTCAGAGGAAGCCTGGGGCAGGGACTCAGTTCCCTCCACTCCCCCCACCCCACAGGTCAAAGGCAGTGACCCACAGGGGGAGGGGCTGTGCACCCAGCTGGCCCAGCAGAGGAGAAAAACCTGGGGTGCAAGGCCCTTTCATCTGGGCAGACCATAGCTCAGGGGACCATTTCCCCAACTCTCCCCTTTCCTTCCTGCTGTGGGACTGGGAACAGATGCCCTCTCCTCCCTCCCATTGCTGACAGCAGGGGGTTGGGGACATGTGCTGGGCAGCCAATCAGAGACGGCCCCTGCGGTAGGTTGGGAAATGTGTGGGTGTGTTCCCTGCCTCACCACTGCAGTGTTCTGCCTGCTGTCCCCAGCCAAACAGTGAATATGAGTTCAGTTTCCTAATGGTCCAATCTATGCAGCTTAGAGAAAACTGCAAAGATTGTACTGATTCCACCTCGGGCTTTTTGACCGTCTGTCCTTAGCCAAAATGTTTCTTTCTGACCCTGCTACTCTTGTCATCTTTCCCTTTTATCTCTCAGTACACCCACAGCCATCGTTGTCCCATGGTCTAGCCCAGGGGTAGCCAACCTGTGGCACATGTGCCACAAGTTGCATGTGCGGCTTGTGTATGTGGCCTGCAGCAGATCAAGGAGGGAACAGGCAGCATAGTAGCAAATAGGGCAAGGGGCAGAAAGCAAGCAGCAGATCGGGTAGGGGAAGAGAAGCAGAGTGGCACTTGGGGAGGGTGTAGGGCTAATTTGTGGCGCACCTGCCAAAATGGGAGGTCCTCACTGGCCTATCCTCACCCATACAGGGAATCAGATCTTGGTGGTAGGGTTATTTTGCCCACAAGAATGCAAGAGCAGGATCAAGGCTGCAGTGATTTCAGTAGATGTGGATTTCCTGGTGCCATTCCTACATCTGAACAGCCCATTCGTATATTTAAAGAATGCAAATCAGGATTACTAGACTAGTTTCTAATCAAGACTTTAACACAGCAACATCCTCTCTCATGGTGTCTGGAAGTAGTTTTTCATTTTCTAGTCAAGGACTAAAGGGCAGAGGAAGGAATGGAAACCATTTAGAAAACACTGGGCGTTTTTAAATTCTTGCTCCTGTTTTGTCTTTTGTCTCTTACATCAATCCTTGGTCAGGGCTACAAGTTCTTACTCTGCTGCCCTCCAAGAACCTATATACATTTTAGATCTGCTTTAAAATTAACAAGTTGATGCATAAGAAACTGTTTTGGCTTCCTCACGTTGAATTTCCATCTTGCCAGGGCAAGGGATGTCCTATGAATCTTTTCTGGAGCTGGATGGGATGCATGGAGGAGAGAAAAGACAAAATGACAGCAAGAACTGAAAATGCTTGTTATTTTTAAATGGGCTTTAATCATCTTTGCAATTTCCAAGTCATTTATTTGGAGATAATCAGCACTTTAGTTTTCTTCTTGCTCCAAATTTTTGTTTAGAACTGTAATCAGATCATCTACTTGAAAAGAAGTTTTGAGCTATATACATAGTTCTAATTAACCTCGCCATCATGTGATTAGTCTAACCTTCACACTTCAGGAAATTTTAAGCTAATTTTAAGCTAATTTTGTACTTAAAAATTACTCAACATCTATCCCCATTCATTTATAACTTAACTCGAACTGAAAAAGTTTTTCTACTGCAATACTGATACAAAAGTAAAATGCCAAAAAAAAGTTGAGGTGCTCTACTGTAGTAAACCAAAGCACACTTTTTATGCTTTAAACAAAAGTAATTAGACTTGAAGATTAAAATTTGGCAAAAGTCATAAAGTCTCCCCAAGGTACACAAGTCCTGCCCTTGGTATTTGACATGGTTTTAAATACATTGCATGGCATATTAACCTGTATGAAGTAAGTGTAAACCTGGATACTTTATTTCCAGATTAGTGCTTATTTATCTGAAGTTAAATTCTTGTTATGGATATTGGCTTTAAAAAGTTTCCTTGAATATAATGGAGGCCAGATCAATACTACAGATGAATTAAAATTTTTATTACCATACCTTACAGAGAATTCAATTATGAATCACAATGATTTTCCCAAACCTGATTTTTTTTAAACTGGTGCTGACATGTTTGTGCTTCCTATATAGCTATCAGGGGACATTCAGTTAGAACAATTACATTAAAAGTAATTACTTTGATTTTTGTTCTTAATGTTCTTGAAAAATAGAATGTTTTACACCTTATTAGATGCCAGTTGGCTACAAATTCAGAACATTACATCTTGCAAGATTGTCAATGGAGACAGCCCAAATCTAATTTATATGAACAGCACTTATTCTGTCCCTTTAACATGCAAGCTTTCCTGCTAAAGATAGGTCTAAATTTGGGAATTCACTATTTTGTAACAGTGGATTTACTGCTCATTTGGTTATAAATTATTTACTTCAAAATAATGCCATTGTTTTATATACTAAAACGCTACATTTTCAAATATGTGAGGGAGGGATAGGAGATGAAGTCAGAAGCTGATATTATCCCAAAGCATGCACGTCGGATGTGCTTTTTAAAGAGTAAAGTACTGACTGGTGTCTAAATCTTTCAAAATATTTTCAGTTTCATCTAAATTACATTTTCTAGGTGTTAACCGAAGAAATGAAAAGTGAAAATACACAGCGATTTAAAAACCACAGTCATCTCATAAAACGTCTGGTAACTCAGCACTAATATTTGAGACAAATCAACTAACGTTTCCAAGTGAAAGTCAAATATCAAATTAGAGGTCAATTCTGACAGGCTTCACAGTCTGAACTACAGATGTGCAAGGCCTGCAGGATTTGGTTCACAGTGGTGTTCAGGAACTTAATCTCAGAGTTTGGTTAGTGAAGTTTTGGCTGTGAACCAACCAATTAATTTTGTATTGCAAGAGTGATGAACTGAAACATCACACCTCTACTCTCCCTTGGGTATTTTCTTTCTCTCTCTTCCCAACAGCTCCCTGCCTCTTATGCCATAGGCCATCTATTTAGCACTGATAAATTCAAGGAATGATATGGAGTTATTCTAATGCCCAGCTGCTGTCTCCAGGTTGTCTCCCCCTGTCCTTTTGTTGCCTTTAAAGAATATGACACATGCCTGCTATTCCCATGTTTTAGGCTGGGAAAATGGAAAGAGAGAATTATCAGGTAGAAACATTTTGTTTCAGCCCCAGGGCTAGAAATTAGGCCAACTCTGATCTATTCCCCTGGAGATAATGAGGAGGTCTCTTGGTTACATCCAGTTTGCCAGAAGGAAAGTGGACTTTAAATATAGTTCAGAATTTAAAAAATATAAATCTGTGACTGGAATTGTAAATTGTATTCTGGAATAAATGTCACTTTTGTAAATTAGCGGTCATCAACCAGTGGCAGATCTCAGACCCTCTTACGGTAGATCTTGGAGCCTCTTAAGAGTCGATCCGAGGCTGGGGTGGGGGGCTGAGTGCCCGTGTGCATGCATGCACGCACCCCAGCACAGCAAGTTAGTTTGTGGGGGGAGGGGGGGGGCTAGATCGAGGCCCCCGTGGTGAGGGACAGTGCTGCAGAGGCAGGAGCAGGGATAAGTTGAGTGGGACCCCAGCCAGGTGGGACTTACCTGCTGGGGAGGCATGGCCCCAAATCATTTTTTCTCCCTCTGCCTTGATCTGTCCCCCCCCTTCCCTCCCCACAGACTTACCTGCTGGATGGGGGGTAGGGTGGCAGTGCATGGTAGATCTTGGGTTGTTTTTAAATGCCAGAGGTGATCTCCTACTTAAAAAGGCTGCAGACCACCGATGTAAATTGTGTAGAATAGTGGCTTTCAAACTATGTTCTGCAAAGAGCTGGGGAGTAATGGCAGAGCAGGCCGGGAGGCAGCTCCGCATCAGTCTTTAGGACAGGGGTAGGGATTCTGCGGCAGAAGGAGTGATATGAAAGGGGGGGGGGGATGCGTGCACGTGTGTGTGTGTGCGCACCATCTCTTTG